GGGGGGGTGCTATGACACAAACATCCCCTCAGCTGCGTTCCATCCTTCGCAGCCCGTCCTTTCAGCATGTGCCAGCAAACCACAGCAATTAGAATGGATTATGTTAAGCCTACCATTCCCTGCAGTCCAACTTAAAAACAGATGAACAAATTATGCAAGTTACACCCAGAAATATCTGCAACCCTGAGTTAGACCCAAAAGAAACCTATTTGGTCATCTCACACTTAGCAGCACTCGAGAGAGGAATTACAGTGTTGTCCACATTGCTGACTGGACTTAACGAACATAACATTTTTATTTGTATTTTTGTCTCCCTCCCACCTATAGAAGTAAAAGACTGTTCTCCAGTGGCAAAGACAATCTCCATAACTGCTCTAATGAATCTCATGTCATGAGATGAGGAGCTCACGATCAGCGATGGAATACAAGTCAATTGGATGACTGCTGTACAAGCAGAAAGACCATTTCTAACATGTTCTGTTTACTTTTCAGGATTTTGTAATCCACAGAAGACCACTATCACTGGGCTATTAGATACAGGAGTGGATATCACCATAATCGCTTCCCGGGACTGGCCTCCCAGCTGGCCAGCACACAGCAGTAACATTAAATTTAGTGGTGTGGGTGGTTCACAACAAGCCAGCCCAAAGTTTGGAAGTGGTTAGCATCTAGGGACCAGAGGGCAGATGTGCATCTCTCCAACCATCCATACTGAACGTACCGGTAACTTTATGGGGATGGGATGCCATGGAGCAGTGGCATATCGGACTGCAAACAGATTTTTAGGGAGGGTCACTGAGCGATTGCAGCTGCCCAAGCTGACTTGGAAAACTGAGGTTCCGGTCTGGGTAAGTTAGTGGCCCTTGCCTAGCCAAAAGCTGCAAATTTTAAACATATCGGTTGATCAGGAATTGACAAAAGGACACCTGGAGCCTTCCACCAGTCCCTGGAACACTCCAGTGTTTGTCATCAAAAAGTCCTCAGGATCCTGGAGGTTTCTCCAGGACCTGCATAAAGTAAACGAAGTCCTGGAACCCATGGGAGCCCTGCAGCAAGGTATGCCATTTCCATCCATGCTACCTGCTGAATGGCCCATGGTGGTTGTTGATATCACGGACTGTTTCTTTCATATTTTTCTGAATTCGGAAGATTCAGCTAAATTTGCATTTTCTGTCCCAGCAATAAATTCTTGTGAACCTCACCGCAGGTTCCAGGGTGAGTGCTTCCTCAGGGGATGAAAAATTCACCAACCCTTTGTCAAATGTTTGTTGCAGAAATTTTATCACCAATCAGGCAGAAATTTAACAAATCCTTAATCTTCCACTATGTAGATGATGTTTTGATCTGTGCAAATACAGAATTGGCTGTGGAAAAAACTTTGAAATCGGTTATTTTGGCTCTAAATTCTCATGGCTTAGAAATGTCCCCTGAAAAAATACAAAAGGAATCACCCTGGAGGCACCTCGGACTCCAAATTAATTCAAAAACTATCAGACCACAATCAATTACAATTGATAAAAATGTACAAAATTTAAATGACCTCCAGAAGCTGCTAGGAGCTATCAATTGGGTACACCCTGTATTGGGAATCACAGCCACTGGTTTACAGTCTCTGTTTGAGCTTTTAAAAGGAGATGCAGGTTTATCCTCCCCCAGGTCCATCACAAAAAAAAAAAGACTAGAGATTAAAAAGACTTCTACTTATGGGAATGGCTGTTCTTCCCAATAGCTGGGGGACAAGGTATTGTGAAAAGGACTCACCAGAACATCAACAATTTAATTATCAAACAAAATAGGGGGAGTATGGGTATGACCCCCC